ATTCGAGAAAGTGCTCATCGCAAATCGTGGCGAAATCGCTTGTCGAGTGATAACTACTTGCCAACGATTGGGCATCAAAACAGTTGCTGTTTACAGTGCGGCTGACGCTGAATCCCTCTTTGTACACATGGCTGACGAGGCCATTTTTATTGGTTCGCCACCCTCTGCTCACTCCTACCTCAACGTAGATGCTATTTTGGACGCTGTCAAGACGACCGGCGCCGAGGCTGTCCACCCTGGGTACGGTTTTCTCTCAGAAAGCTACATCTTTGCCAAAAAAGTCACCGATTTGGGCGTTGTTTTTGTGGGTCCTGATCCCGAGGCTATTCGTTTAATGGGAAACAAAGTAGAGAGCAAAATTATCGCGGCTAAGGTTGGCGTTAATTGCATTCCTGGCTCCGACAAAGAAGTGAGGGATCCTGCGGAAGCCTTAGAGGTAGCTGAAGTCCTCGGTACGTGGTTTTTGTAAACCTTCCTTCTACTTTTTATGATCAACCAGTGACATTGTCTCATCAGGCTATCCAGTCATTGTGAAGGCGCTGGCAGGAGGTGGTGGTAAAGGAATGCGGATAGCACGAGATGACGCGGAGCTCTTTGAAGCTTTGCGCCTTTCAAGGGAGGAAGCACGAGCCAGTTTCGGTGATGATCGAATCCTCCTCGAACGCTATCTTGTCGCCTCGAGGCACATTGAAGTCCAGGTGCTCTGCGACAAGCATGGAAACGCGCTACATCTGCATGAACGCGACTGCTCCATCCAACGGCGCAACCAGAAGGTGGTGGAAGAGGCACCTAGCTCCCTTTTCACTTCTTCTGCTAACCTGCGCAGTCGTATCTGTGATCAGGCTATCGCTCTGGCGCGTGCTGTCGGTTACGACTCTACTGGCACCGTGGAATTCCTTTTCGATGATAGAAGTCAAGATTTCTACTTCCTGGAGATGAATACACGCCTCCAGGTGGAGCATCCTGTCACTGAGTGCATCACTGGTGTGGATATTGTCCACCAGATGCTACGAGTGGCTAAAGGACATCGGCTGCTTTATCGTCAGGAGGATATTTCCACACGCGGTTGGGCTATGGAGTGCCGCGTCTGTGCAGAGGATCCACAGAAGGCCTTTGGTCTGCCCTCAGTTGGTCAACTGACCTCATACCGCGAGCCGAGTCACATACGTGGTGTACGATGTGATTCTGGTGTGGTAGAGGGCTCCGAAATCTCCGTATTCTATGACGCGCTCATTTGTAAGCTCGTCGCTTACGGCGGCAATCGAAAAGCAGTGCTGAGTATAATGACGAAGGCGTTGGATAGCTTTATTATTCGTGGTGTGACTACTAATATTCCTCTGTTGAGAGATATTATAAGTGAGACCGGTTTTGTGTCTGGAGAGTTCGCAACCGATCATCTTGCGCGGATCTATCCAGAGGGATTCAGGGGTGCACAACTTCACGAGACAGAAGTCTACCAACTGATTGCCCTCGCTTCGGTAATCAATGTCAAAAATGTCCTTCGGAATCAAGCCAACGTGAGGTGAGCTGTTTTGCTGTTTTAGCGTTTAACTTGTCTATAAAGTCATGAACAAGTGGCATGAACATTTTTACTTAATTGTTTACGTTGCCCTATCAGGTTCATGAATTTAACTAGCGAAACAGGAAATAAAGTTGCTTAATGAAGGTTTGGTAATGTGGCTAAACGATTTTGTTTTCCTCTGCAGCGAAGTCGTCAATGCACCCTTCCGTCTGGTCGTAAGCGTTGTCGATGGCACAATCGTAGTCAAAGCCCAGGTCATTCAAAAAGATGACTTTTTCGAGGTCAGGTTAGAACCCCTTTCATCTAAGAAGTCATTGGTGAGAGTGATACGGGTGATGAACAACTTCAATCTAGCAGATGGTATCGTTGAGCAGAATTTCAATGAACAGGAGACAAGAATATTCCAGCTGCGAGAACGCAATCATGTTGGCGATGTGTGTTTGCAGTATCGGGGAAGCATCTTCTGGCTTCGAATCCGCTCAGAAAAGGCGGCAGCTCTGGAGTCAGCCTTCATTGCAGCACATAAGAGGGAGAACAAGCCGACAATGCCCATTTCTGCCCTTCGAGCTCCACTGCCCGGTCTTATAACGTCGATTTCTGTGGATGCTGGACAAGTGGTGGAGGCGGGTCAGGAGTTGTGCATCCTGGAGGCCATGAAGATGCGCAACTGCCTGAATGCTACCCACTGCGGCATCGTAAGTCCACAGTCTATTCTCCTTTCTCCTGATTCACTGTTCTTTACATCATCTTGTTCAAATGGTCTTGCCTTTCAGGTGAAAGCGGTGAATGTGAGGCAGGGTCAAACTGTTGCGGAAGGGGAGGTCATTTTGGAACTGGAGTAGCAGTAACTGTAGACAGTCATAACCTCTTTCCCTTTTTTCTCGCTTTAGTTGAGATGTCTTCAAATTTTCGAGACTATTTTAAATTCTATGAGCAGAAAACTGCTGACATGAAGCACAACTAAATGTGGTCCTTACTGTATTGCTTAAATCCATCTTAAAAGAGATGACTTGGGGTGCTTTTGGCCGTATGATTACTATGGCATTGGTGACATCAGTGACTGAATGAGTTTCCCAGTTGGCTATAGGAGTCATCGTGATACTAGAGGTTGAAGCAGTCACAAATTTGCAAGTGGAGATCAAACTTGTTTCATCATTTGACTGAGGCTCGATAGAGATATTTGATAGACTAGCCAAATTGCCTAAAGACCAGTTGCTCTACTAAAAGTGCCTTGGAGTGCAAAATAGCTGAGTTGGTATCGAAGGCGACTGTCGAGGTGGTTGCGCAGTACCACGCTTTGTTGGCCTCCGGCTCTTCCAACATCGTGAATTCGACGTTGGGCAGGATGAAATGCCCGAAACGCGATCACACTTCTCGAGAGCGCGGAGGAGTCGAAGGACTCCTTCTCCCCACCACTCTCACGATCCGCATGGCAGCTGTTGAGTTGTAGCTGCTGCCTTTATCGCCGTCCTAGGGCGCAGCTGACGGGGTCGGTTATTGCTACTTCGATAGTGGTAGTGGAGGAGGCAGAGCGCACTACGGAACCCCCTAGAGGGTGGAAGTTGAAGCCGCTGCGCTCAAAAGGAGAGAGGGTGGCTATTTACTGCTCTAAATGTTGAACTCCGCAGACTGTATTTCCTTCGGGCGGTATGGCCTTCACGTCATAACAGCAGCCTCTCAGCTCTTTTCAGCACTAGTGCCTTAACTTCTCTAAACTCCAGGCAAAACTCGGAACGATACAATGTAGCCAATGTCAGACGTGAAGTGCTTTACGCTTGTCTAGACCGAAGTCTCGCTTATTATTTAGTAAATGCAAGGCTTCAGTTGCTTAATGGCTTGTACAACAACCCCCTGAACTACTGATGGGTATTTAGGTAGTCCAACTAGGAAGATCTTTTGTTTAGAAAGGTTGCATGCTCAAAGCACTCTGTGGATGTCGCAAGAAAGTCACAAGTGGTCTGCATGCTTCAGAGTAGTTTGCTATGCATCACTTCGTGGAATAAAGAAGTGGATGCTCAGATTTCCCACTGAAAGTGCTTGACACGCGGGAAGGCATCATTGACCATCATGCCGATGATAGTCCGAATTAAACGATATCAAAATTGTAATGCCTTGTTTGTTTAATTCTTAGTGTTGGTGATAGGCCACTTAGGGCTCAGCCATTGTACCTCCTCTGGGCTGCCTGACCTCCGGGTCATGCCAGCAACATGTCGGGAGTTAGGCTCCTTCCCCCCTCCCAGACCTTTTGTAGGTCGACAATGCATATTCCGCCAGAGTACCATGCCTCGTTTCGCCTTTAGGCGTACATCAATGGTCTTCAGCGGTCGAGAACCTACCTAGCATTCGACGCTAGCCACTGAAATGGAGTGTTTTCTCTTCGGCCTTCTCGATTTTTACTTTAAGCTTCTTTTATTTAATCGGTTAATCAGTAAGTACGCATTTGACAGCCTGAAAGCCCTATATTATCCTCCTGTGGATAATGGAACCCTGAATATTAGTAGCAGCAGGCCATTTATCCCAATGACATGCTTAATTTCCCTGACCTCTCGGTCTCTCCGACTGAACTTTCTTTGTACTCATGTCACTTGAGCGTGTAGCAGTAAACTCTCTTTTAGACAGGCGCATCTTGCCATGTTGTCATGAGCGATAGCGGTCGGTGGAATCATTCTTCAAAACCACTTTTTGTCTTTTTATGGGCAGCAGAAATCGCAAATGCTCTACTTTGAAGTTTAAAATTGTGGCTGGGAACAAAGCACAGCTACAATTGGCAGATCTCCAGGTTGCTGGAAGTGGAGAGGCATTGAGATGGCAACAAGGTGACAAGAATGATCAAATGCCGAGTATTATGGTGAGGCTCCTTCACCACCGAAGACCAGTTGGTACCCACAACGCCTCCGGTGCAAAACTCCTTGCACTCTGACTTCTCCCAGCATGATTCACTATCGAGAAGCACAAACGCTGCTGAGTTTCCCTAGCTAGCATATCTTACGGAGGCGAGTGAACGCTGGAAGCGCCGAGGTGGTGGAGAAAAAGGACCACGTGAGCAAAATTTTGGTCCCTGCAATTTGTCCTGCGCATCGATGTCATGCGGCTCTGCATGCTGCTGCTCTGTCCTTACTTGTGCTGAAAACAAAGCCTACTTCCGGAGCGATATGCAAGTTGTGACCTCGAAGGTGCCTCGGTTGTCATGTTGACGCCAAATATCAACTCTCAAGCCTACTACAGTTGTGGCCCCCAGTACTAACACCTCCACTTCTGCTTCGCACCTCTAGTTTCCTCACGTCGTCCGACTGCTTTCAGATAGTGACGGTACTCATTTCCATCTGTTTTCATAATGCCAAATTGGAGGTTGCAGATTTTCTGTCTGGACAAGCATCGCTAAAGATTCGCAATTTAAAAATTTGTGGTGATTTCATCGAATTAAACCATGAATTCATGCAGCTCTTGCGAGCTGCTAGCACAGGACCAGCTTCAGCGGTTGCACAACGAGCACTTTTATAGTCAAAGACCTGGTGTACTCTGAGAAGGAAGGCTTGGTTCCTGCAACATATTTATATGCCTTATTTTCTTCTCAACTTGACTGCTACATCCTAGCTACAGTGGTAAGGTACAAAGTAGGTGGAGAGCGTGACTGAGCTTCGTAAGCCGCTCTTCAAGCGGATCTAGCTCCGCCGCCATCCACGCAGGCATTAGCTTGTATCTCGACTTTTCGCTAATTAATCATACTGCATTCACAATCGTGTCGAAGGTTAAAAAAACAATCCCCAGCCGGCAAAAGCCACGAACCCGTGAGCGTCCGCCGCTATGAGATTAAAAAAGTGAAAAGTAAAAATGTAATTTGATGAGTGAGAGTAAATATGTTAGAGTTCGATCACACAATGAGCTTACAACTTGATACCTCTCCTTCTCTGCCCTCCGTCTCGTCTCGTCTCTATCGCGTCACATTTGGAAGCTGCGCCGCACCCTGCATACAGGGAGCAGCATTCGATGGCTGAGGCGCTCCGATGGGCGGCGCGACCGAGTTTATTGTTCCGAGCTGATGAAAAGTAAGTGCTGCTTGTGGCTGAACCACGGTGCCAAGTAGCTGTGGGTTCAGTGGTGTCACGGGTAGCCAGTTGTATGGTGTGATTGAATCGGTGCGCTGCTGGAGACACTGTACGCTCAATTTTGATACGTAATCGGCCCAATTTACTGCCGAGATCACGGCTGCTGACTGGAAAGAGAGATGCAAAGGGAATTAGCATTCGTGAAATGATTTAAATTAGCGTGCATATGTGAAAGAGGCAGCATTACCGGTAGAATTTGCGGATAGATGAGCAGGGAGGGATCGATGCCCACCGCTGGAGGCAACCGAGCAGCGTTAGCATCGGTGCCTACATAGGTGGTCCTATTTGCAGCTAGAAGGTTTGGCGAAGTCCAGTCTGGAACTATGCAGTTGTTGTACATCAAAAATTGGTTAAGCGAGAGATTTGAAAGTGGGTCGGTGAGACAGACATAGGGATTCACAGCGGATGTTGAGGGTATTTGCATCAGAGCATTGGAAATCTGATTGCGTATTATCTTGGCCTGCTTCTCCTGCAGATACTGAGCGTGACGCCTTGCAATTATCTGATCACGAATGTGCTTTGGTGGATGGAAAAAGGAGCATTTCGCTCGTCGACATGCGGGCTAAAAGCGTCAAGTGGAGGCTTTCGAGCACAGCAACACAACGCTCAAGAGCAGCTAGAGGCAACAAAACTACAACACCTAGACACAAACACAACTCCCCGCCTACTACGTGTCATAGCCATCCATCGAAATCATGTCTCATCAGAAAGCTAGGAATTTCAACGAATGGCCAACTCTCGGAAGATAGCCAAAATAGCCCTGCTATTGTACCTTCTCCAATAGGATCTCTAAAAGGCACATTACCGACTAGTGAACGAAGCTGGCTGCCTTGTAAAGTTGAAAGCAGAAAGGCACAAACCTGAATAAGACCCATAGAGTCAAAGCAAACGCGGACATAATTATCAGCATTCACGGACACCCCGTCTTCTTCCCTGACGTGAGCCAGTTGACAGGGAGTTCCATCTTTCTTCCCGTTTCTCTCATTAGAACAGGCACCAGTTTTATAGTATTCCTTGCAAATGGGCCAGCGGCACCAATCCTGTCGTTTGGCTCGTGCGGCTGCAGGCTGGGAGTCTTTAACAAGCACTGCTTGGTTTGACGACGTTCTAGACGGTGTTGTCTCCTGCGGTGTCATTGAGGCTATTCCAGAATCGTGAAAAACATTCAAAGACGCAGAATTATTGGCATTGTCCAAGAATGTGTCTTTTGGGTCTAAAGTAGAAAGAGAGTTAGAACCGATGGTTGGTGAAGAGGTAGAGAAACGACATGATGTGGACACTAACACATATTCACTACACCGAAGCTGATGTCGGGAGAGAGTAAAGTGTAGACCCAGCAGAATGGATGCTATATACGTTGACAAGATCGTTGTTGAACTAGAGCTCAGACTAACTTGACTGGAGGAGCTTTAGTCGGAGCCTTTGACTATGTAGCGTCTCCGCCACCAACACCGCTCAAATGAATTCATTCGTGTTCGACTGAGCCGTGATCGCGAGAATGTGCAGTGTGACACCAGAAATCGGTCACTGGTGATGCAAAATGAACTTTCTCACAGATTAGCTACAAAAATTTGATCATTTGAAATTTCGTTGTGAAGAGTGAAACCGAATTTTGAATGCTGCTGTTAGTTTATTCAAGCCACAAGACAAGAATGACGAGAAGCGCTTCTCAAGCTAATTATTGGCGAGGTGAATTTACAAAGCATAATTATTTTGGGATTCCACGTCACTCCAATGAAGTCGAGCATGGGATCGTTGTTTCAAGAGCATCGTGGAACATGGAAATCGATAAGTGTGCGACAGCTCTGCACGTGGACCGCACATAGTTCCACCTGAAATGCTAGGCATTGTCACTCGCGGAGCTCCGTTTTAAGAGGTCATTACTGCTAGAAAAGTAGGATGATAGAAGCACGAACCAAAAAAGCTCACCGCAAGTCGATAAAACAAATGAAGCAACAAGGAAGAGGCGAGTGTTTTTTGTTAGGAAGAAGTGGAAAAGCTAATAAATTAAAGAAATCACCATCTGAAGCTTTTTGAAGGCGAACCTCGGCAAAATACTGAAAAAAGAAACGAATTTACCAAAATTTTAAAAATTGCCGCAAATTATAGGATGAATAGCACTTAGTGTACAGAACAAGGCGAATTTAGAGGGAGCCGTGGGCCAACTTACCCGAAGTTTTGGCCATTTTCTCGGCTGGCGCCTCAGCGAGCGAGGCATCGGGGCTTCGAGAACGGCGACCCATCCCCATGACTAAGCGGTGGAAAAATGCTCGCCAAATTCCAACCGCGGAGAGCAGAGTTCGGGTTAGGTATCTGTCAAGGTCAGAGCTGTGCTCACCGCAAATCCAATGAGCTCTGTTCGCGGAGGCACAGCTGATGGACGACCGCGTCTATGGGGGGGAGTGAGAGGAAGGGGGGAGGGGTGGGCAGCACAAAGAGATCATTTTGCTGTTCCGTCACATCAAAGTGCAAAGTGGAAAATCATATCTATCATATTATTATCATGTGAATTCATCATGATAGAAATCCCGTTTCATTAGATCTACAATTTTCCAGTCAAAACCGATAAGACAGAGCTGTAAGATGCACTGAGGTAGCGTTTACACAATGGTGACAGTATATTACTTGCCTGGTGGTGTCAAATCCTGTGTGAATGGCAGAAGTGTATAATACATGACAGATAATGTCACCAGTGGACACGGAACGTGTTAATTTTGTCAACTCGGTTGATTCTTTGCACAGACCAGCTCTTATTGGTGCGTTTCGGGTCCGGAGTCGAGTACCTTCTGTGCCCTCCGAAGTGGTACTGATGTTGCAGATATCAGCGCTGAAAGTGTATTCTTGCCTTAATGGCAGATGCTGGAGGCGGAGACAGGGAAGATGAACAGGCGGAACACTCTTAGGTCTACTGTTCCTCTCCCCCCCCCAAATCGGGCGCAGTAGCAACGATTGCACAGGACGAATCGTGTCACACGGTATCACAGCATCGTAACAGTCTTAACATCTCGCACAAAACCATTCCTTGAAACCATCTTTTAAGGCATCACAAAGAAGAGGAATTTCATCAAACTCTGGTTCAAGGTCAGGAAGGATACTTGGGAAGGGTGGAGGGACAAATTTTCTGCTTTTCAGGGAGCTGTACTAAAATAAGTCCAAGCAGATAAAGGGATAATCTTGTTGTAGTAAAGGGTGAGGCTAATGTACTCATAGATGAATTTTAAAAGCACAAAATCACCGGTACACATTCACGGTTAGATTCGTGAACAGTCCTTGATGTAAGTTTTGCGAGATCATGATGCAGTCCGTGTGGTGTTCACCACATGAACTGCTGCAGGTGCACCACCAGCAAAACGGCATGCTGTCGAACTCGGGTGTGGGGCAGGCGATGACAGCCTCGAGACCGAGAGCCACGTGACATGCGGTGACATGAGCCAACATTGAACTGAACAAACTGCCACAAAACAAGGGCGGATTAGCAACACAGCTCGGAGTAAGCGTTGGCGTGGTGATGTTGGATTAGTTGGAACAAATTAACCCGGGCGAGAGATTGGACAGCCAGCTGGCATTCGTAACATCTGAACGATGAATTAGAAGCTCTTATCACGCCGTTCGATCGGCAGTAACTAAACTGGTGATCCTAGCTTTGAGTTTGCTGAAATAAAGGGTTATTTTGGAGACAAACTTTCACGTCTAATGACTCAAACCTTGAATTATGGAATTTTAAATGTAATGGGTTGGCCTAAGCTACAAAGATGCTTTAATCTCAAAGAATGCGGCCTTAATTCCATTGTAACACTGTGAATGCAACAAAGTAGATTTTCGACTATGACTGCCAAAAATGACCACTTAAAATACACCTATAGGTGAGTAAGGACCCGGACTCTCGGCATTGTATCGCACCCGTAAGACCTGAAATGACAGGATTTTCGATGTCACATCCCTTACCGAGTGACCGGCGCAAGTGGGCCCCTTAGTTGGTTGCTTATCAAAGCTTTGATGACATGGGATCGGCAATTCTTAGGCTATCTCCACTGATGTCTACCCACCATTGTGCTTTGATATTATAACTGCGGTACTTTAAGTGTTTGTGCAACTCTTTGCTTTGGTTTCGCAAGCACCTAGGGCTCCGACTTAAGGTAAGTGGCTTGGCCTCTGAATCGAGGCAGTAGTCCCTCAGCTCTTCCGTGTGACGGCAATGCATATTCTACCTGAATATTATTTCATCCTTCATCTTCAAGGACGTCTTAAGGTGCTACATTGTTTTAATCTGTACGACTACCCACTACTAAGCGGTATTATAAGCCATGTGCGCAGCAGTATTGCCGTCAAAAGTTTACTGGACAAAAATTGGTCTAGTCTGGCTACAAGAACGCGAACATGCGCTGATTTCTCGCAAAAAATTCGGTGTGATACTGGTATTACATCGTGAATCAAAGTTTTGTTTGACTACGCGGGCATTTCAGCCCCCGCAAGTTGTGCTTTCCCCATTCAACACGGCCTTCGGGCTATGCCAACAGCTGCCACCTCTTTCTTAAGGCAGTAGTATTGCTATAGGGTCGGTGTTTTCCCTTCCATCACCACCTTCGCAGCCCTGGACGGGGATATGCTTTATCGGGTAGGGATGAATAAAGGAGTACAGGTATCACGATTAAACGTGTTCAGGTCATATTTCCTCTGCAGGGGCTAGTGACTCTTCCGATATATCCCGTAGTTCGTATTTATTGACCGCCTCTTGCCTAAAAGGTACAGTCAAACAAGCTCCTTTCGTAGCTCATGCTCTGCCCCACTACCTCGGCTAACCGTGATTTCAGAGAACGCTTGAGGCGCTGCAGTACATGATCCGAGGGGGAAAGTTCTTGTAGAACAACGCCAATAGGTAATTGAAGGGTAATAGCAGAAATGAGGCGAAGGAACTACTCCAAAAATGTTAAAATCTTCAGCACATTAAAGTAATCTTATTGTTTTTAGGAGATCCATAGGCACTCTTGTTTCGATTAATATTTTGGTTTAATTTAAGGCAAAACAAGATGAAGGAAAGCCTCACATTAGCAAATCAGCATAATTCAGCAAGAGGATTTGACACTAGGTCAAAAAATATTCGGAAAAGAATCAATTAGTCATTTCTTATGTTATTTATTCGTTAGTAATTCCTACAAAATGTATTTGCAATAGTTCAGAATCCAAGAAGCTGGAACTATTGTTAAGCCGGAAGTATCTAGAGTTCGTCTTGTGGTCTCAAGCGCACCACTCTGGCTATGCCTTTTAGTAAAAGGTTGATAGCTCGTAAATGACGGAGTATGGATAAAGATATCACACGTATGTGAAGCCGGTAGTAAACAGATTAAGCGATACTGTTGCACTTCTGTACCGACTTTTTAATATGGAATTTGGGATATAAGGCAGAAGTGAAGAGAATGGGTAAAAATGGAAGAAAACAAAATGGGTTTTGCCATAGAGCAGGTACGCTTAGAGAAAGTGCAATTGCATCACTTATGAATGCCTTCTCTACACTTGAATATTTCAAAATATCTAACATGAATTATGAAATGGACATGATTTTAGTAAAAAATAGTAACAATCAAAGATAATTAAAAACCTTGTTTAAGAGCAGCAATAGATCAGATAAGTTCTTTTTACAACCATGAAGGTATTCTGCATTTGAGATATTCTAATTTGCATAGAATATATTTTTAACAGGCAGTTAAAGCATTATAGTAGTGACAAATCGTTACAAATAGAAACGCTATAATGCGCCCCAAATTGTCTTCAAATTCTGCTAGCTTATGACTTCTTAATAGACATTGATTAATGTGTTTATCACGGCAAAGAGGAACCCACACCTTTTGTAAATACCGCGTCCCAAGTCCTTGTGTGTGTTATTGATAGGGGTTTATACTGTAATTACTTCTTTCATTAACCGCATTTGTATTAGCTGTTAATCCCCCCGTTAATACATAGTATGTGTGATACTCCTATATTGTACTCTGCAGTTACATTCACTTTTTTACTGCTTGTGTTTATGTCAGGTTTCCACCGATGGTTTACAATTTGCAAGAGACGGCCCAAGGTTTTTCACTTCCTGTGAGTAATCTTCTTAATCATAGTAATTGCATAATCTGTAACGCAAATCTGCATTTCTCATTAGACTTATGTACTCACTTCCTTTCATTCATACAGAAATATTATAGACTGGTAGCACTGTTTATTAATGCAAAATGGGTAGTTCAATAATGGCTTTGCACTAGAGTTGCCTGACAAACTAGGTACTAGTTCACATCTGCCCTGGTCACGGTTTTTTGTTCATTTACATTGTCAGTCGTTTGTCCCGCTTACAGCCACAAGCACGCTGCCTTGTTGGTCTCTACGATTTTCAGTCCGGACCCTTGGCTGAGCAGTCAGAAAATGCACGCTTCTTGGTCGGTTGCCAGTCTGTGACGCCTAATGGAAGCCAGGTATGTCCCATGGAACTGCTTATGAAATACGTCAATTCTTAAACATTTAGTAGTGCCAAAGGTGTCCTTATCAATTTTTGAAGAAAGTGCGCACCTCTTTTGTTACATTCTTTAAAGGTGCATCTAGTGACTCTAGAGGAAGGGTACTCCTGTCAGTCATTACACCTAAGGAGTCAATCTTTCATCCACCCGGACGGTGAAGTCGTTGGCTTGACAGCGCTCCCTGCTGCTCCGCTCCTCTTCGTTTCTGTCTACTCATCCAGTTAGTTCCGACGTCATTCATCCTTCATTCCTTGAATAATAGAGCTACATTTGTCGTCTTAAATAATGAGTGAGATAGGATTTAATTTTTGCACTACTTTGCAGTATTCAATCAAAGAATCTGTACACTTGCTACTTTCGTTAGTTCTGCCCATTAGGATGGGTTTTCAGATCAGCATTTTACCAATATTGGTCTGCTTGCGTCTCCTTCGAAACTGATAACTCTTGCTTTTATCCATTCAGTCTCAGAAAGCAAGACAGAACTGAGCAGCGGTGCTCGAATTTGGCGTCTTCCACCGCCGCCTCCACAGTCGCTCTCACCGACTGAGTCGGAGGAAGAGAAAGAAATTGATTTCGCGGATCGACCCCCGGAACAGTTGGAGTTCGTCACTAGTGTACCCTGCAACGATTTTAACTCGATTAAAAAGTATAGCTCCTAATTTGTCATGCATTTTAAAGAGATTTTTTTTCAGTAATATTTTTTTCTTCCCGGCAGAGTTGCAGCACACCCCTCTGAAACCTGCAGCGACTTGGTATGTGTATTAGGTCCACCCCTCCCGGGAACACAGCAGTGCGTTCTTTTTCAATTGTAAAACGCATCTCATCACCCTCATTGAAGCGTTTCAGTCGCATTGTTCCGCTTTTTCAGCTTTTCGAGCAGCCGAACAGTGTCACCAACATCCAGTTTTCTGGCCATTCTTAAGGCTGCCTCAGGCGACTACGCCGTCAATACATGTAGCCAACTGCGACTTCCGACGGAAGTCGGTGAGGTCGCAGGGGGATCAATCACCTCTCCCGTAAATGCTGTTCGATGGTCTCCTCATCGAAACGCCTCCACAGTCGGAGTTGCCTTTGATTCTGGCGTCCTCGGCATTGACACACGTTGCATGCAGTCCGTAGAGCTCTTCTGACTCGCTGTCAATGTGATTTATTCTAAGATATCTACTTGCATTTCTTTAGGCCTTGTTTCTGGTTGGGTGATGTACACTGGCCATGTGTACGTGACATTGATTTTAATCCAAACTTGGATCACATTTTGGCCACTGGTGGCGACGATGGATGCCTCAGTGTGTGGGACCTTCGATCGATTCAGAAGGTCGGTGCTACCTCACATGGAAACTTTTCATTTAGGAGTGTCAGCTCTGGAACGGTTGGGTTAAAGCCCCTCGTAACTATTCCTGCGCACTCGCACTGGGTATGCGAAAATCGGTTCTAGAGTTTTAATGTCATTGTCATGATTAGCATTAGGCAACCAAATCGTTTTTCCACTTGAAGATATGGACTGTACGATACCATCCAACTCGAGATCAGCTGCTTCTATCAGCTAGCAGTGATTCTTGCATCTGCCTCTACGGCTTGCCCAGTTTTTCTTCGGAAACTGGGGCCTTGAGTAAAACGGATGGCACCAAAGCTAACAGTGGAGGGTCTTCTCCTGCGGAGTCCGAAATCTCTGTTGAAGGGTGAACTCATTTCCATTTTTCACTTTTTTTGAGGATAGCTTTGACTGGAAAGCCTTGCGTGTTTCAAGCCCATTGTGGTCACTTTGTCACGATATTTAGGGTGTATGCGACTTTAATTTCCTTGGACCTTTCCAGTTTCTTTGAAATTAATCCGAGGAAATGTTTTTTCAGTTTGGAGGATGGAGTGCTGGGGCGTCTGGAACAGCAGCAGGAGAGCATTTATGCGGTTGACTGGAGCCCCGTGGATCCCTGGACTTTTGCTTCCGTGAACTATGATGGGCACTTTTTGGTTAACCAGGTGCCCGACAAGGTCAAGCTGGGAATTCTCCTTCAATGCGACGACGACGAGGAGGAGGAAGCGGACGACTTTGACAAGGTATAACCAATGCTAATGGTTTTGTGAGGGTCAATGATACATCCACTCTGTGACCAAATGTTTTTTTGGTTTGTATCCTCTGCTTGGTAGTAAAAGTTTTTTCTTACCCTACCATATTTGTCCACTTGAATCGCCAATGCTCAAACTAGCCTTGTTAAAATCTAAAGTTTAAGTGATCAGTGTACCGCTTTTCGGGAGGCACCGGAGGTCTGTCTAGCTTCAAATCAGTGAGATCACTCAAAATATGCGCCTCCAGCCTTCTGCTTAGTAGAATTCTCGAAAACACTCCACATAAACAAGAGAATGGCTCAAATGACACAATGTGATCTGCTGGGATAGGATGGTACAAAGGGCGAGTGGGATGCATAAAACAAAAAATAGTTGTGTCATAAGAGAGGCAGGGTGGATTGGAAGGAGGTAAAGGCATATCAAGAGACGGGAAAGAAAAGGATGTACGGCACGTGAGGCGCCTCGCCCACAACCCCCAGGGTGCTCACCAAGTGCTTGTCTGCACTGCCACTTCCACCACCGATGGCATCGCCACTGACACTGCTACTCCCGAAAGCGAAATCGAAGTTCACGAGTCTATAGGAGGTTGGTGGAGTGTGCTCTGTTGCCATCAAGCTCGAGTCGTTCGTATCTATGGTGAAGGTGGCGGAGGGGATGTGAGTGTGTACGGTGACACGGGAGCGGGCAGGCGCTCTGCTGAAGTAGCAACGTGTGTTTCGACCCTCCTCCGGCGTCACCGATAGCAAGTAGTAGTGGTTACTCTTCAGCTGCCATGGTACAAAAGCAGTAATACGGTTACGCATACTAGTGAGATTATTAGTGAGTTAGTGAGGTCAGTAAATCACCTTGATGGGTCGAGAAAAGCGCGTCTCGACCACGGGGCTAGTGGACTGGGCACAGTTGAGGGTTACCTCCAGCGCGCACAGTGCTCCGCTGCGCGACTCCACAGACTTGAAGAGGGTCCTTGGGATGGTCGTGGAGGGTGACGAGGCTGCCTCCGTCGTCCGACTTAATCTCGGGTGCGCATTGCTTCCATGGCTAGATGACCTTGAAATGAATGTACGCAGTTGGCTAGATTCGTGAATTTAGGGGGCTGGATACTTTATAACTATGTGGTATGTCTCTTACTCGCGTCGTCTCCTGCTGTCATTGCTAGAGCGTAGGTAGGATGACATTTGGATGCCCGCGTGCCTATGCCCACGTCGGTGGCCACTGCCACCACTGATGAGAGTGGACACGCCGGTGCTACGGTAAGTGACTGGAAAGCCACCATTGGGGCTGTTGACCTCAGCGCTCTGATTTAGAGTGCACTGCCGCACCTCCACCTTCACTTTGAGTTGTGTCCCCTTGTTCATTGGCCGGAAGAGACCCACGCCGGCGAGGAACACTGCTTGCGAAACCTAATAACTGCTACTTGTTTTAATTCAGTAGCTGTTGTGGGTGACTCGCACCCATGCCTCAGGGGTCATTGTCGGTTTTTAATTATTGAATGCTTAATGAAGTGAAGAAAAGCAAGCATTTAAAATTAGTCCAAGTGTCTGCTGCTCTGCTAGTTGCCTTGATGCATATCTACCGCTCACGTGATCGAACTTGAGAAAATTTTGCATTCGAGAAGATACAGAATCGACAAGTGGGTTGTGTCACTTCAAACCCTTGAGGTCTTATTTCCTCCGTTTCGCGGAGCTCCTTTTTTCATTCCTAGTAGTCCTCACCGCAAAGAAGAGAGCACGACAGAAGTCTGGTTTTCACTTGCACTACTTAAATCCATCTCATTTTAGAGTGACAGCGCTCTTAGTAATCGCTAAGATCAACCTGTGTCACAGGCATGAGTCACTGTAAGTAGCCAGGTAGGATTAATTATTCATTCCATATTCACTCTTTTTATTCCCAGTGAAGAAGAAAGCCAATTGAAGGCTCATTTGCAATTATTTTCAGTCCGCTGCCTACTTCGTCCTGACACTCAGTTGGTTGCTTCCTGGTGCTCTCTTCTCGTTTTCTACTTATTCTCCGACATTGTTAGGTCGTAATATGAAGTAATTCAATCACTAATACTGTACCTGTGATATTTTATAGTAAATCAAGTAAGCACAGGATCTTCTTTGAGGAGTTATCAACGTTGTTTACCATCGTGCAACGGCTTTACAAGTTCAGGTAAGGGAATTTTTTTTTCCACAAATATTGTAAGTAGTCCAATTTTTCCCAAAATTTATCTATAAAAGAAACCGTTTTGAGGGAGAAGGTGCAAGACACCCACTTCTTATTGAAGGGTTTTCTCTCTCTTTTCTGTATTCTAAGTAGTAAAAAATCAAAGAGACCTAAGCGATCGAACTCTCCTATCGTTGAGATAATCTCTACTACAACCTGTCATCCTACATTTGTATGCTACACCTCGGATCTTTTTCAACTCGCCTTCCCACTGCTGTGCTTCATTCTACAAGAAGGGGTGAGGGCGAGGTGAGGCAGTAGCTCTCTCTCGTCCTGAGATGTGATATGTGGCCTTCCCGCGGGTAAGTTAAGGCCTGGTGGGGTCATGCATTGTCTTGTACAAACAGCTCATTCTTCTGCCTGATTGATCCATCCAGATTAGTTCTGAAGAAGCCGTTTTTCATTCACGCATTCTTTTTTCCTTCACCGACTTCGCCTTTACAGGTGAAGGCAGTGGAAATGACTTTTTCTGTCACCACCTCCAATAAGATTCGATAGCGACTCGTTGTCAAGAATAGAGGCCCTTTTTGAAAAGGACGTAACATCACCAGAAGCAATTTTTGGGTGGTGCTTTCTGCTATCGCATTCCTCACCCTCTCGAAATGCCACGCAACAAATTTGACGCGAGCCTTCTGCCTCTTTGGGACTGCGCTACAATCAGTCCGGAAAATGAACAGGTTCGAATCACGACCGCTAGATTACCCGGACGCTTGATGTTTTGAAGGCTCAGAATAGGAGGAATGCCGTAAAGAGTGGAATAAAGAGCATTGTATCAAGAGACTACACCTGTCGTTGGTGGTGGTGACAATGCCAAATGAAATTTCTACACCAAGATTATGCTTGGAAATGGCCTACCTTGAAGATGACGTACTCGGTGTCCGACCAGTAGGCCTCCTTGCTGGTGAGTGCGACTGTCCGTGTGAAGCGTCGGCACTTGTGAATCTGTGGACCCTTTCGTTTTTGCGGGGATATATTTGTCTCACCCTCCTGCTCCATACTGCTCGTCGTCTCCGCTGTCTCCTTCCCCGCTGCGTTTTCGCTCTCCGCAAACATCTTGGTGGCGATTTGTAGGAGAATGGTGTGTTGCTGTACGGAGGGTTAAACAAAGGCTGTTTTTAATTGTAAAATCGAGTTCATCAATGCTTGCTGCACCGGTTTGAAATAGCTTACCACTTCAAGACTGAGAATATCCGATTTGGAGACGTGGATGATGAAGTCTTCCAGGGACATGGTAGTGAAGCGAATATAGGGAAGGAAGTCCCCCATAACTCCAGCCACGTTGAGGGTATTGTCAGTAATACCCGTGCGAGCACACTCAAGTTTACTCCAACGCATCAACGCTTCAAATATTTCCCATTCCTCGCAATACAGCGTCTCCCTACTGATCAACCTAAGCAGGGTCTGGCGCTCGAGGTAGGTGAAGTGCTCGGAAGTGAGCACTTCTGGAGTCTACAAATGCACGCGTGTTTGCAAATTTCATACAACTTACCAAGACGTCAATTGTGTGCCAACAGATCTTGAAGAGTTCATCCTCGTCCATTGTGGAGCATCGATTCAGTTGCAAAAGCACGTTTTGAGGCGTCATCAAGCTCTTGGCAGGAAGAAGATTGCACAAGACCTTCAAGCTTTGTGAATAATATTTAAATCCTGAGGGGAATAATAGGAGGGAGACAAAGGGGGGGGGGGAAATGAGCGCTGTTTTTTTCCTTTTTGAAACCTGGTCTTACCCGTTTACGACTGCAAAGGTCCCGTTTTGAAGTGAACAACGCTCGTTTATTGGCTGATTACTTGGCATGATACGATGACAGGATGCCAGCAAGTCTTCCCTTCCTATGCACTGATGAAACAATTCACTGCCGTGTTTGAGAAAGGCTTGCATGCGCACTTAGTTGATCACTATTTTCTTCTCAGTTTCACCTTGAGAAAGAGAGCCGCGCTTTTCGATAAAAACCATCATTACTCGCGATGAATTCGTACAATGGAATTAACCGCACCAAGGGAGTGGGAAGAGGCGTTTCACATGATGCTCTGCTTAAACAAAAGCCTTGTTATTTATAATTTTTGATGCTTAGGTAACCGTGTGCCACTAATCGCCATTGCATTCATGCTTCACGATCCGCACACAACGCCCCTGGCCTCAGTAGCGTTCTCGTTGCCTTATCACTCAATCGGCTTCTGGAAGTTGAAACCATGCAAAAATAAGATGGCTTGAGTCAGACGGAGGTTTCCCTTTTCACTTCGTGGTGTGCCTAAGCTATCGGTTGGAGATATGAGCCAATGGATACCGCTGGACTAGCAAGAGCACATATCACTTTTTGGTGATGGTCAAAGCTTTTTACACGAATCGCGGTGTAAACTTGCCTCCTTTTTTAACCCTCACAAGGTGTCAAAACGCATGAAATCTCAGGGTTCAGTGAATAAATGTTGATTGCGATGGTATTCGATGCCATTCCGCAGTAGGAAGATGAATGAATGGGTGGGGAATCGTCTATTCTCGGTGCTTTATACGATGTATGCAGGCAGATAGATGGTAAATTTGAGATGGTCTAAGCGGATTATGGAATGGCTAAATAAATAGATGCAAAAATTAATGGGTGAACGAACAGATGGATGTGGATTGGCCGAATGGATGGGTGGATACGGGTGAATGGGTAGACACATATCGAAATGGACTGTCCAAGGACTAAGTCAGATGCATGGATAGATAAACCTGTCGATCTATGATTGTGTGGTGTAAGTATTGATGGACACTTTGACTTCCGGACAGGTTTGGGGTTGTGCCACCACCACTTAGCTACAAGACCTCACTTAGGAGTAACCCCTTACTTCAGACTAGACTGTTGCCATCGCCGTCGATGCACAATTAATTTGAATAACGAGATGTGGAGGCAAGACCAACGTCTCGCTTGGGTACCACTCCAGCGACTGTAAGGCCAAATATCGCCCATCCAAAAGTACTCCAAGGCGTTTTATTTGAGCAAGGCAAACAAATCCAGATAATTTCTATCAAACATGAATTACCGACACCTTCTGGTTTGCTCTTATTCGGAATTATCTCACCTTATTAGAAGCGTTTTGGAGGGGATGGCCTTACGCGCGAAGGCAGTGCAAAATATCAGAGTCTTTATTAAAACGTTGTCTATTAGCATTCCGTCATCCTAATAAATTCTTTTAAGAATGTTTAGTTACATTTTCACTGTTCAAATAAGCGAACCACGTAAGTCTCATTTTAGGTGCTGCTACTTATGACTTGGGAAAAAAATGTCATAATCATATGTTACTTACAATGAGTCGATTCTTGCAGGCCGTCGCGAGTGGTGTGAGGAGGTATTTTTTGGCTGCGTAAAGGGTGTCATAGAGGTCATCAAGGGTGTCTGTCAAGGTCATGTCATCGTAGTAGATATAATGCAAGCACTGTTGAAAGGCCTACAGAAAAAGGCAACGAAACACAATAAAGACGTTGTAATGATGGGCCAGTTGGATGGACTATCTAGGCAGTCCATGATATTAGGCTCCCTTAACGATTCAATTACCTTGCAGGACTTCATGTCATTCAAGGCCCAAGTTCCCTAAGCGACATTAGCGGAGGATGATGAGATTGTTTCAAATAACATATTGGATTAGTCACCATCTAGTGGTTTTTAGAGTCTTTGATATATCTGGGAAGTATGATTCATGGGAGACGTTTTTTTCTTTAAACAAAATAAAACTGTGATTTAGGAAAAAGGCCTTATTATATCCACTTATGCATAGGGCAAAAAATTGGTAAGTAAAAATGCATTTTGCGATTCGGGTGCCAAAGAGAAAACTTAATCGAAGTGCTATACAGGATTTGAGTTTCACTCATTCATTAAAGAGTACACTTGCGACCCTAGGACACACCCGTAATTTTTAAAAGTAAGTCTAAAATGCAGTGGTTCTCCTTGTCGCTGTGCTTGCATTAGCAGTTCTGCAAAAGGAAGATTGGTAGCCTGCAAACCTTCCTCCTAACTTAATTAGAGGGGCAAAGTAGACCACATGCATATGGCACATGGCATCTTGTCAATAAAATGAGCTCCCGAATTCAGAATTTATAGTCGGGATAGTTGAATTCAATCTGCCTTTAATCACTTTAACTTCTAATGAGAAAATTGCAACTTCTAGCTCTGTAACTGTTGCAACATTCATGGGTTTGGTAGTTTTGAGCAATTGGCGTTTACCATCGTTCAAGTCAGCTAATTATTTGCATCTCAAAATTCGGGCAATGTAAACGGGAAGCAAAGACTCACACAGTAAGTAATTCATCAAACCCAGTTAAAATTCTAATCATACTTACTTTTTTGAGTTTTTATTGATTGATGAGCAAATATTTTAACAGACAAGTAATCCAATTTTTATCGTGATTCATTTCTGAAATTCTCCAAAGTCATCAACTTTTGATTTTTAAATACCATTCTTGGAGTATTGCTGCGGTGATAAGCTAAATTGAAGGCTTAAAATTACGCTCAAGTGATATCTAATTGTGGCATCATGCGGGATCCTCTAGACTAGCGCGTTCAAGACATCTCTTATGGTTCCGAGCATAACACAGAATTATTACTACTTCAGAGAACATAACTTGACATGGAGCCTCTGATATACTTCTCTATAGACTTTGGTAGGCAGCTTCAGCTCATAGAGCCCTAATTTTCTTTGGAGATTTGGGATTTCAGGTTCTCACAAATCCATGGTTAATTGAAACATTGGGTATCTTATGGGAGTTTTAGTAGTCACATTCCATAATGAATGTTTTTAAGCATCACTTACACCACAATTTGTGAATTATTTCTCTCTAAGAAATGCTAGGAAATGCGTAAGTGTAATCTGTAAGGAGCCTTCTTGCGGCTAGAAGTTTTGAAATGTCGATCAGGTAACGATACATAGGAAAACTTTCAAACCATATGCTTAATAGCTAAAATTATGTTAAATTTTCAGGCAATATGTATTTAACATTAAGTAATTGTTTCAAAACTAATTTTTTTTTCGTTCAGAAAACTTCATCATTTTTCCATGTACTCAAGGAGCAATATTTTACTTACTGCTGGGGTAACGTCAGTAACATGCATTTCCATGGCTACCACTGGCGTCGCTATTGCGCCAGCCACTGATGGTGTAGCGGTTGGGGGCCTCGTACTTAGTACCCCTGTGGCTTCCGCGAATGCACCGAAGAACATCGCTTCAAAGACCGGCGAGGCGATAGCCAAAACAAGGCGATGCGCAGCAAACCGCTTCACCTTGCTGTGAGCTACCTCCTTGGCAGTTGATTGTGTCACCGAATTGGTCGACTGTGGAACTACTTTTGCTCGATCTTTGCTCTTATTTCTGCCTCCATCCTTCTGACACAACGACTCTATATCGATATCTGAGATGTCAGAGAGGTGACACATCACAGCCGTATTCGTAGTTTTAGTGAAGTATGGGCAGACCTCAGAGGGCGATGAGGAAGTGGAGGTTGGAGAGGAGGAGATTGAAGATGGTGTCTCTGGAGTGTCTGCAGTGTCTCGCATTGAGAGTAGCATCGCCGCCAGTGTTTTTGCCTTTTCTGCAACTGTCGCCTCCCGATTTCTAGCTTCTGTCTCCAAATCCTCCGCATCTGAGGCCGCCGGCGTGGTCTGTGCAACAGCAGAGGCATTGCCGGAGGCCTGAGCGATGGCTGAGGTGATTCTACGCTGTTGCTCAGTGTTCTGACGACGCTGTGCTGAGGCAGTCGAACGTCGGGAAGTCGGACACATAGGTGGACGTGGGGAGAGCACACCATTGCATTGACTGTCTCTTTTACGTGTTTTGCTTTCTTGTCTTCCTGCTTTTTCCCATCCCTCACCTCCTCCGATGTAGAAATAGACGTCTGTAAAGCGTTCTGTGCACAGTATGCTGCGCAGCCGGTCTTGAATGCTCTTACAATTGGTCTACGAATAAGAACAAAACCATCGAGACTGCAAGAAATGGCGGTTACTGAAATAATACGGTCTTTGACAACACACACCCTCCAATCCGTTGGAGTGACCACGTTTTCATGCTCCTCGGGTTCGTTGGCTTCGAATGGGACTTCAGGGAAGACGTCCGAGTCACCGACTGGGTCATCAACGAGCAGTCTGTTAAGGTAGCGGTCAAATAGGTTGTCATTTGTAACAGTGGTGGTAGAACGATGTCCTGGCGTCTCGATAGGCGGGTACCAGTGTTGACTTCTGTTGGTGTGTCCGCTGCCTCGCGCAAAGTAGGGACTCACCAAGGAAGGCTCCAGTGGGCTCTCATCGTCGAGTTCTGCCAAACTGGCGAAAACATCGTTGTGTCGTGTTGAGGCTCTGTGAGGTCCTGCTGAATGATTCCCATCCACTCCAAGTCGAATAGTGCTGGAGACTGCTCCACGATTTTGGGCGGCTGGAAGAAGAGATAATTATATTGTCATTTGTGTGCAATTAGTTACTTTCATTTTGCGTCGAGGTCGATGTGAAGACAAGTGGGCGTCGCCACCTTGGTCCAAGAATTAGCCAATTCATGGGTCAGAGGCTAATTATGCCTCTTCTCTATGCCCTTTGATTGACAGGACGATATAAGGTAGCCGCTTAAGCATGACCTTTTTTGTTTACTTCAATGGAAGACTTGTGTCGATCAAAGTCGACTGAAGACGTAAACGACTTAATCTCTGTGACCCTTATTGAGCTGCTTATGTAGGTAGGTAGGCAGCATAAATAGTCAGCAGCACAATTGAATTTTCACACAATTTTACAAGACGATACCATCACTCGACCTTAGAGGACCCTCCTGCTTCTGTTGAAGAAAGGCTGGTGTGGTTTAATCGCCATCTATAAATAGAAGTTATGGTGGTTCTTGTGCTGCAAGGATGGAGGGGCAGCTAGCGGGTCTTTGTGACAAGAAGAAGAGAGTCGGTCTGGGCTCAGGAGGCGGTGCTGCTTTAAACACGAGGGGTCTCCATTTTATTAATTTTAAATACGATTGGGTAAATGGCAGTATGTTAATCCCATTTCTACGTCAGAATCACTTCACCAGCGGCGCTTCCAGACATGGCAGGTGACCACGCGAGTAAATAGAGATAGCCTCCTTCTGTCAGGATCACGGCTAGCGTGAAGGTCATGACAACACCGCAAAGCGCTTACTTGTGGTGAATCAGAATTTGAATAAGGGAATGGAAAAAAAACGAGATGAGGTCATTTTTTTCATACCACCTTTACAAGTGGCACTGTCCCTCTCACTTTCCTTTTTTTGGGCCTGTACTGGGTGGCAGAAGCCTATGCTAATGAGGGAAGTTCATTAACATTGCCTAGTTCTCACTGACACATCATTATAATGCCTTGACTCAACTCTCCTTACTCACTTCCCTTGGGGTGCCAAACTAGCCACTTTTTCAACCGCCACAGAAAGTATCTGGTAGGTTATGGTGCGAGATGTGATGTTCGAGGTGATTCCGTGCTTCAACACCGCTTAAGGGGGCTCCCCTCCAATTAGTAGCAAGGTCCAAAAATAGTGGTTTTTAGGGATCAAAGTAACCACGGTACTAATCATTTCTGAGAATTAAAATAAAAAATTGTGACCTTAGAAATGAATAGTTCTCAATGACTTCTTCTTCTACGAGAACGGCGTCTGAAGGCCATAATCGGAGATCCTGAGCCACAGCAAATAACCCTGGTTACGACTGTTCATCGTTAAGTTGGACGGTTTGAGCCCTTCGGATCTTCAGAGAACTTAAAACTACCTAAACAGGTACTAAAACCGTGTCAATCAACCTTTGAGGAGGAGGTAGAGCCTTCACTGTCTGTTACACAGGCATTGGCTGATGGACAACAACAATGCTACTTGTCTTTTGTTCGAGGGTGTCGAAACAATTTTAAGTAAAATCACTTGCAAGAATTTGAAAGCTATCATCTCATTCTCTTTGGGGTGGTGGGGAGGAATGAACCAGCCTCGAAAGAAAACCTTAAAAAAATCTATCTCGATAAAGCCACCGGATTAATTTACTCTCATTCACTGTAAGAAGGAGTCTCCTCTCAGCTCGAGGCAATCATTTTCTCACATACTACCTCCTCTAATCCATTTTCAGCGTGTGTGTGTATGCTACTCCGTGGTAATTAAGATGCCTTACCTACCTCAACTCCCCACACGACCATTCTATGCGATTACCACAGGCTGCCAAATTACTCATTCACCTATTTTTGCACTGGTAGAATCTTGGTAAACCATTTCCAATCCTAGCCTCACCCTAATTGTCATTCATTTGACCATAAGGAAGGGCAATCACATGACCTGAAGGTGGCATGACAACAGCTGACCCTGCTGTCGGTCGCTAAAGTAAAGGTTATAATCTGGCATTAAACTTACAGTCCAGGGAAGCGAAGGAATTGTGCAGGCTCAGTCGGTCAAGTCGAATGTCAGGCGAGCTGGCTATGTCGGTGCCCGAGTTATCCGTCCCCGCGTCGTTCCGAAGGATGCTGGTGTCGAACGGATCAACGTCGTTTTGGACGGCTGTCTGGATAGAGATGTCGTCACTCATTGTTTGCGAGCACCACCAAGGTCAGTTAGGAGTGGAGAGACAATGAAAGCGGGAGAGAGAGAGAGAGACAGCAAGTGTGCTGAGCGCGCAGTGATGAGAAATGCGCCACAGTTGTGCCTGTGATAACACGATTTACCGCACCGCACCCCACCTCAGCCAATCACCGACGAGTGTGCTCTGCGTATATGCCTTGGTGTGCGAGAAAGTACGATTTTGTACTTGTGTAGGTTTGTTTGCAGGCACAAATGTGAACATTTGTTAAGTCGTGAATAAATTAGACCACTTGTCGAGAACAATCCAAATCTTACATTTATTCTCCCTTTGACATCAAGTTTGAGTCCGCTCATTCATGTCTCACTGAAAAGAATTCTACCATGTACCAAATCACTATCGTCTTTCATCCTCAGGGAAGCAAAGCTAGTCTTTCAATATAGAAACGCTTGATTGGTTAAGATTTGCTCTGTAAAAATGCTCAATAGAGATCGTAGAACCCAATAACCTGACACCCAATTTGATCCGGATCACTTAAAGGGATGTAAGAGTAAGCGTATCATCATTCCCTCTTCTTCACCTTCTTTAAGCACTTGTATTAAGCCAAAGGTCCAGTAATATCAAAAGCGCCATTAATTTATCTCCTGTGGGTAGGACACCAAAATGAGCCAGGCTTCTGCATGCCTGGTTGGGTCCGAGTGACAATTTATGGTCGTATGTTTCGTTTTTTTTGGGGTTTTTATTCTCCGATGGATCATATGACAGCTCTCCTTTGATATTTGGCCTTATCGGTGCTGAAATTTTTTTTGCTGTAAACATTTGTCATATGTGAAATTTTGAGGACACAATCGTGTTTTTCGTTATATAATCCCATGGCTCAATTAGAGGCAAAAGGAGTGGGCTTAAACCTTTTCTAGCCTTCATAGGTAACTTGGATGCTTGCACTCATCTCCTTTAAAGTGCCCATTGGAAATTATCAGAAGTGTGTGTTGTCTTGGACTAATTTGGCCTTGGGAATGAACCCCTCAACCGAGCTCTGTTGAGTCTAGAAAGAGCGGTTTTCCTGCTCCTGCTCAATTCTAAGAGAGGAGAGGAGGAAGAAAGAAAATTTGAAAAAAAGAATTAGACCGAATTACGGAAATGCTTAGCCATACTACTGAAATTGATTTCAGCCTGCTGACGCCAACAGATACTACTTACAAAATTATAGCATACGCAGATAAAAATGGACATTAACGTATCAAGCATAATTCAAAGTTACCTCATCAACGAAAGTGGGACTGAAATTTGTTCCACGCTGCAAAACTATGCCTTTCTTAAGGCATCACGAAAACAGTTTTTCCCGTAAATTATATGCCAGGTAGCTAAATGTACACAACATTATAAGCAGTAGTAACGCATCACTTTCAAACTTACCTCTGTAAAGTGTACAAATCTAATAAGACACTGTTTTTTTGCCTTTAATGTTCTACTTTTGCCCAGTAAAATTAGAAATAATTTTATTAAACTGCAGGAATGCTTAGTCCCCTCATCATCAGGATGTGTTGGGAAAAAATTAACCAACTTTTAGCCAAGGGGAAATTCGGCTGACCCATCAAAAAGAAAAGCCAATTGTTCCGCTTAAGAAATTTTGTCTTTTGAGCCATTTTAACAAAACGCTCTTCAGAAGAGGCAAATCCTCTCGCAGCAACCACGTGCAGGCACAATTTGCTTTGTGACCTTGGCGGCCTAATTAGTCACCTGAGAGGTAAGCAGAAACACGTCTTTTGGTGTTGATGGAAGACACATGCATCTCTTGCAACTGACAATCTATGAATCAGATGACGCAGTGATGGTTTTGTCAGTCGCTTCAAATTTGCTTCAATGTCTCTGCTGTTTGTGCAGAAAGACATGTGTGCGAAACCCAGAGACTATGATTGTCATCTATCGCTGTCAAATTAACGGTTACTTCGTAATCTGAATTGGGCAGATTATTGTGTAAGAAAGATGTGGAATTAGGAGTTACGGCACAGCCTCCTCCTACTTCACTGAGGCAGGAGCACTTTTTTCATCATCAATGCGGATCCCACTTGGATGCCTTCGAAAAATTTTTTTTTTGCCTACTTGTGACGAAATCATGGGCAGTCAAGCCCAAATGATACATCTTGAGAGGTAAATTTAATATTTCTACGAAATAGAGGTGAAATGTAATGGAATATAGCGTTTGAGCGGCGGCTTGGCACTGATGGCAAAAGGGTGTTTTAAACAAACTTGATTTAGCTTTATCCAGGTTTGGCGCGATTTCCGGTTTTCGGTATTAATATTGATGCCATCATCGCGGCAAAATAAGGCATGTTTAATATCCCTACGAAACTACTTTTACAAGATACTCCCGTGGAGAGAAAACCTTCGGTGGGGAGTAACTTAGGTGCGTTTGGGGATTTTAAGGGACCTCCATCTCATGGAAGCTAAGCAACCACTCATTTGCATAAAAGGGGACTTTTGAGTAACAACAAAAGTAGATACCATGGATTTAGCTACTTTGCGTAGTGGGAAAGATAAATGGAAGCATTGAGTGAACCAAGGTAAGTGTTGCGAGAAGGGGGCGGAAGGCCACCTATTAAGTCCCGCTGATTTTATTAACCCCATGTAAAAGTCGATGCAACCTTCTTATGTGAGAATTCTGCTGGTAATTTTACTTTTGCGACGTGCGTAAAAGTGCGGTGAAAATACTTTGAGAGTACAAATGTCGCAAGTTCATTCCCACCCGGGGCTTGAAGCTGAAGACGCAAGACACAGCCTAATCAATTAGTTCGAAGCCACTCTACAGAGTTTATTTGGGAATGTTGTTAGATTTCCAAGGACCCTCCTATTCTATGAATAGCGCTTATCGTTTCAGGGATCACTTGCAGACAAAATGTCAACCAGAGGGTAAAAGATATCCCTTGATTGCCGAATCCGCGGCCAGGACAATCCACCAATATTATTTATAGCTTGCGCAATAAATCCTTAAACAAAAAAATAAATTCCATTTTATTCAATTCAAATAAGCAAATTTTTAGGCGGGTTTGTGGAAGTTTTAACCTACTGATACATAATAAGTAGAAGTATTAATAAAAATCCCAAATGATTAGAGCAGTGGTACATGAATCTGTGCAGAATTTTTTCAAACCCAAATATGAGTAAAATATGCATGCGCAATAAACCTCATCAGCCATTACAAACTAAGACTCTCACATTTAAGGGTCAGAATGGCTGGAAGTCTATTTGCACCTTTGATGCCTCCTGATTTTCATATATCATTTCAAGTACTCATTTTCTACTTCTATTTTACTAAGTACATCTTTTTCTATAAAAAAACAAGTTTGAAAAACGGTTTTATAGCTGAATGATGGTGGATTTGCCAGTCTCCCACATTTGGACCGCCTTTCAAAAGCACTTTAAAGTCTAAGCTTCCATCAGCCAAAAACCAGTATAATTCATCGTCTTTTGCTTAATATAACAAAAATAAGACAGTGACGTTGAGAATTTGAAATTAAATTTTGCTAGGTCTATTCGAAGTCCTCAAGCACAACAATGAATTGTTGAAGAGAAGTTTTCGTAGTCTTCGTCAAACCGTTTTAATTGATGCCTGTCACTGAATGGGTGGGCCAATAAGGCCACGTCAAAGCTTGTTGAAGAAGGCTTCTACCTTCCGCTTGCATGCGAAGTCCGTGCGTAATTGGGTGTGGCAGGTTTTATTGACATGGTGACACCCACATTCTCGCTGATCTGTTCGTGAAACCAACCAAAGCATTTCCTTTGAAGGTCGCACTAACTAATAATTGAGTTAAGTGGAGTCTCAATTCAAGATCCACTTCTCCCTCACATGCATCTACCATTCCTACTTCTATTCCTTCTGGCCTTCACCGGCTCTCAAGGTTCGTCTCTTTCAAAATATCACCTTTCTGGTTCTTTCATTATCTTGCATTTGCGCGTACCATATTTTAAAGAGACTTAGTCTTCTGAAAATGTCATGCTACGCAAGAGGCTAAGTAGAACATTATGGTAGGTAAATGGAGGGGCTGGTGGAATTGTAATAGAAGTAACTTGAACGGTTCTTTGTAAGGCCAGAATGACATTAGGTGTCTAATTATGATGAACTTATTTAAAAAGAATTAAACTCTTAATTACCAACTTTTTACTAAACCCTCAGAATGTAGGACATAGCAATATAGAATGTCGCCTCAGGTAACCTAAGGAACTGTCATTTATATTTTAAAAGATTGCTCTGTATTTTACTAAATCTACTACCTATTCCTGTAGCAAAGTAATTGTGCCAAAGTGCTTTCTTTACAAGTGTTTTGCTCAAAGTCACTTACAAAATGTCCTTCTCATAGGTGTTGAACTTTTGACTTCCGATTAACAACTAGCAATACCGAAAAGCAAACGCCAGATTTGTTTTAAAACTAGTTTTACTTTACATGGGCTTTGGCTCTAGAGATTAACTTGCCTTATTAATGTGATTAGCCTAAGCTGTCTTTATGCCTCAAAGCAAATTTGATTTAGACATTTGAAAGATGCTGTTTGTGCCCTCCAGATATTCGCAAAACTTATTAATGTTATGTTCTCAAAACACAAAGTAACTTGCGGTGAATCTAGGAAATGGTAAACATTTAGTCTGCCTATTCTATTGTTAAGAAGATTTATGAAGCGTCTAAGTGAATAGCCGCTTTATTTTTCGACTATAATTCAAAGTGGATAGTTCAAATCGACTAACACCTCAAGCTAAGGTGACCTTCTTACTGGTACCATGTTGAATGCCCCTCTAGTATGGGTACCATTCACAGGACACCTGGGGTAAAAACTCATTGATATTGTACAGCCCCTCAAATAGCCATTTTCAAAGTAATGTAGCGCTTTTTGTGGCACAAGGCAATTCACTTCAACTGTTAATCTCAACTTTTTTGACGGCATCAATTAATTTGGTTGGTTAAAACACAATTTTGATGCTGGGAATGGACGTAAATAGGTGGAAATTTTGAGCAATTTTAGGTTTGACTTCCCAAAAGCAAAAACTATTAAGCAAAAGTCAAGTGCTTGTCTCTAACTTGCAGTAATTAGATTAGCATAGACGTTTAAGATATGTTGAGTGTGTCGATCAGGTTGAGACATTGTCAAGTTAGCTTTAATAATGGAGACCAAAGAGTCCCCAGTTTTAATTATAATCACATTTGTTCATGCATTTCATTGTGCGAAAGGCAAAACGTCATTACTAATATAGTAGCCGCAGCAGCGCTTTATATTCTTCTTTGTTTTTGGAAAAAAATGAAATGTTGATTCTAAACTAAACATGTTTGATGCACGAGGCCGTGGATGCTCTTTCGGCTGTAGTGAACCAGCAACTCAAAGCTAATAAAATATTTTTCCTAAAATTGTTTGAGCATAAGTGTGATGCATATCATGATGCCCTTTCTTCGTTACTCTTCCCTCTCCACATCCCAGGCCTTCACAGAGACTGCAAGGATCCCATTGACCCAGGTCGTGGCAGAGCAGCCTTCCGGCGGTTTGCCTACGATGCGGATGCCAAGGGGTGTCGTTCCTTCATCTGGGGCGGTTGTAATGCCAACAAGAATAACTTTGAGACGCTGGAGGAGTGCCAAGCCAAGTGCGAGCATGGCCGTCCCCAATGCTCCATCGCCTAGCCTGAGCCTGCCCTCGGAATCGCTGCCAATTTTCCTGTCATAATAACAGAAGGCACTAATCGAGATTTGGGTATTAAATATTTTAGATTAAGGACTTTGGCAGCTTTTCAAGAGTATTCGCCTAATTAATTCACTTTTTAACGCCACTTGCATACAATTAAGCGCTCGAGGGGTCATGAGTTGAAGTGGCAGTTTGTCATTAAAAATTACGCCTTATAGGTCTAATAACCAGCCCTTCAGGTAGTAAAGCCTGCAATTTGACCAGCCTAGCATCCACTTTGGAGGCGTCACGAGGGGCATGAGCTGTAAGATGACGCATGAACCGTAAAAGTTGATGCAGTTATAGGTCCCAGAGGATAGCGATGTCCTCCTAAAAACACCATATCCTTCAAACCCTACCCTTTTGAAGTGCACTTCTCTTACGGCATTTCTTGAGGTCCTGCACACGTCAGAAGGTCCTTAATGCAGGATTACTTTTCCAATTCACCCAGTTTATTTTTTTGTCATTTAAACGAATACCTTCTAACATAAAAATTTGGATCATGAGGAAAACAAATAATCTTTCTTGGATGTTGGTCAGTGATGGCAGATAAGTTGCTACTTAAAATGTCAAGGCATTATAACATCCAAAAGGCATTTCTAAGCTTCAGAAAAGGCAGTGGCTCGTTGTTCATTTCCATCACGATTGAACTAGGCAATTGTCACTCTCCTTCCTGACCAGGAAGGGTTCATTTATCCCTCAGGGTTGCATGTTGTAATTTGGGTATCATAAAACGGCACTGATTTGGGGAAGTAAGGAATCGCTGGACCGCAGAACAAACCAGGCTTTGGACTTTCCCGTAGTTTTGAGGTCATAGAAGTGCACGTTATGGTTCAAAGATTCAAAGCCAGACACTTTGAAGGAAGGCAAGAAAACTTACCTCAAAATAGTGGATCAGTTGGAGGAAGAGGCTCTCCTCATACCGCATTGCACTTTGGACCAGGAGGAAGGCACTGCCTCATCCTCCGTATCTTCCTCATAATCTTCCATGCAATTCGTCATTTCCTGTTAACATTGGAAAATTTCTTGTGTAACAGACACTTCGGAAAGAAAACTAAGGCACAAAGGTGACTAGAATTTGGAGCATTGTTGTCCGCTATTTCAGAAGGCGAATCCGTGAGCTCTCTTTTATAAGTAGGGTCTCCACAAAACCTACTGTCCCTCAACAACGGTAATAACCTGGTGATGTGTTAGCGAGTCTCCTGATACCTCTCGAGGTCAACGATCAGATAAGTGGTAGAAAAGGACGTCAGAGCAGATGACGCAATAACTACGCAATGGAGGGCTGCGGTCAATGTGTACGAGCAGAGTATGTCTGGGTGTGAGTCTGAGTGTCGATGGTTCTAGCTGCGCGTGGTTACAGCAACTGGCTGACCTCGGTCTTTAAGTGGTTATTAGTACAGTTAAAGTACATCTCAACTTGATATGAGACAATCAGGAGAGAGTGAGCGAGAGTACGACCCTCTCGAATGTTCAGAGGTTAGGATGCCATCAAATCTTCTGAGAGATCAAAGAAGAACATTTTTCCAAAGCTGAAAACACAAATCTGTGGGTTAGGGCCATAGGCCTAAAAGTTATCAAAACCGAATCAAGCAATAATGCAGCAGGTGGCCACGGACCGCATACCTGAGCGATCATTTAAGTTTAGGCTACGTAATTCTGACCTGTCAGAAGTGCTCATACCAAAGCCTTGTACCTCAGAAGGGGACCTTTAACACCATTGGAATAAATAGAGAAAAAGAAATTTGTGACCTACCACAGGAGCATGAAAACGTCGTCTCCTTCAAAATGTTGCATTACCTCACGAAAGAGGCAAGTGAAGACATTAAAAACCAATTAATGCAACCTCAAGATGCAAAACCACAACGAGAAAAACAAGACTGGAAAATTAAACGCGCGTTTAATGAGTGAATGAATGATGCGGTCACATATTTATGACTGTCTTCATAGTATGCGCACCTTAGTGACCGCACATGCTCTCACATTGCTCCTTCGAGTGGAATTGATTCTTGTTGCCACCGCAGCCACCGTAGATGAAGCGAACACACTCTCCTGACTCCTGATGGAAACCCCACCTGGGGAAGTAGGCGCGGCAAAAGCCCGGATCAAGAGGCAATTTGCAGGGGTCAATGCGAGCTGAAGACATGGAAAAAAAGGGTCAAAAAGCTGGAAATTACATTCGCTAGCGATGTGAAAACACGTACAACCGTTTCAATTAGCCAGTTTTCTGCTATCCCATTGGCCAAAATTCATGAAAACACCATTGCATCACTACTGTTAGGATTTCTCAACGCTAGACAAATCAGACTACGAGGCGATGACAAGATAGGAAGAGGTGTGACAAGGGTATAGATATCTGATGGACTTGAGAGTAACGGCCCTCCACAATCGGTACAAGCTATGGCAATGTATGCAAGGGGATTCAAGCGAGCCAAAGAAGAGAATGAGGTAAGGTGAGAGCAAAGAGGGGATAGTAGCGACAGGAACGTACCTTCAGAAAAGCTGATGGCCACGAGAAGGAAAAGCGCGAAGGCGGCAACCATCTTTGCTTAGCAGCAGTGAATTTGGAGGGCTTTGTGGATTCCGTGGGTGGGCTCATCCTTTCGCCCTCATTTATAGTCTGCACCGGAAGTAATTTGGTCCCACAGTTTACATTTCCACGGATAAATTGAACTTAACGACACGATCAGGCACACACAGTGGCTAAGGGGGGCATCAAAAAAGCCTCTTAATGATGCAGTATTCCAAAATGGTAAAGTCTCAACCGGAAGTAAGAAGCTTTTTGCCATGAGAACATCACAATAATTGCCTAATCTTGACTGGAATTGCACTACAGCATCCCCTTTCCATTATTCTTGCTCTACTCTTATACAATTTACTGGAGTTCATTGTATGGAGTTATTTAGAATGGAGCTTTGACCACTTGTACACAAAAAAGGTTGACATTAGGGTTTGGCTTTTGATTATGGGGTCATTTTGACAACTAGTTTCTAATTTGAAAGAAGCAGATAGGGTTGATGTGCCATGCCTGTGCAAAAAGTTGCGCAAGTTAGTTCTAAGAAAGAAATTGCTCTCTTTCTAGGTACTTATGATTTCTGACTTGATCTCACAACGGCATTCTGGAGGAGTATGGAACTGTAATTTCCTGTGGAATCAAAGACATCCCGGTGTTGACCAAGCCCGAATGAACTTAACCTTACTGTGTGCCTCGTCGAAAATAAGTTACTCCCGAAGGTACAATCGCACATTCATTAAAAAGCACTATTTTAGTAGTCGCTTTATCCCGCAGTACTTAGAATGGCATTTCCTCAACAGTAAGTCCGACATTTCTTGAGCCAGCAAAAAACACTCACCATTAATTTTCTCATTCATTTGATATTTGCCAAGTAGAGGTAACTCTCCCACCAAAAATGTCTCTTCAATTTAAAATCTACAACAATTTGGTAATTATTTCAACGCTCACGCTGTTAAATGTTACGATATGTCTGGAAGCACGAGAAATTTCCTACAAATAATTTTTCTTCAACAGGTTGCAAGGTGCTCACTTATCCCATGTTCATTTCATTTAAAAAATGCTGATGAAGCTAAAGTTAAGTGAGCAGATGGAGGGATAATTTGGTAGGCAAGTTATTTGAGTGGTCATTGTATGTAGGTCAGTGCATTAGTTGGGAAGAAGACTCCTCCAAATCTACCTTTCACAGGTGCACAACTAAAGCATACAGTGCAAAAGCGCTAAGATACTTGAAATCTCGCCCAACAAACAAGAAGGGTAGGCACACATAGTTTGCAAGAAGTAGTCGAAGTGATAACATGCGATAGTCCGCACAGTTTTGATTGTTTCTCAAACCATTGACTGTGAATATGACAAACTCTTAGTTTGTAATTTCGCTCCCAAAGTTTCTTACCACTTAGTTGCAGTGTCGAAGTACCCGATCGCCTACGCGCTCATTAATCTCATGATATCGTGCCTACTTAAAAATGAAAACCTCAATGACAGTTTAAAACAAGTTTGTAACGATCTTGCTGGAAGCCATCACTCAGAATTGTTAGAAGATCATCAACTGCAAAGTTGGTTGATTACGTTTGATGTACAAAGTTTGATTAAATCATTCACTTACAAAGAAATTCAATTTATTTTCGAGCGCGATGGAGAACTTGGCGATATTTTCTCTTAGCCGAGTTTGGAGAAGGTATAAATGGTTAATAAAATTTATTTAAACGGTATTTAATAGATGATTGGTGCGGTTACATTCCTGTAACTATCCCGGCCAAGGCTTGTCTGCTTTGACGACCACACACTACCTTAAAATTAAACTTTTTATCAGATCAGTTCTCGTTGCCACCACAGCCACTGTAGTTGAGGCGAATGCGTGGATTTAATCTAGGGTTAAAATCTAATCTCTTGAAGGATTTACGTTATGGGCCTGCGTCTCTTGGCAACGTGCACACAGGGTTCAAATTGGCTGAAAATACGGGAGGAAAATATCTTTGCATATCCACACCAGCGAATTAGCTGAGCGTAATAGATTTGAGGAAAAAGTGGTGCATCTATCAGCTGCAGAACAGGCAAAGTGGTAAATGGTGCAGGAGCAGTTGCAGTTAAGGGTAAGGCATTGTCGCCTTATTGTCTCTGAGTTCAGCTAAAACCTATGCTTGCATAATGACCAAAAAATGGACACATTGAATATACGATAGCAAGCACAGGACTCTTAAATACCTTCAGAGAAGCTGAGGACCATAAAAACGTAGAGGGCCAAATCAAGGCTTATTTCCGGTGAATAGTGAAGATGTTGGCAAGTGCTCTGCTCCTGCGCCTTTTACACTTCACCAGTGCAAGTATTTATTTTAGACGTGAGTGGGATTTATGATACTGGGAACATAAGTATTGGCAACGAGGTTTAAAATCTATTTCTTAAAAATTCCTCATTGGAAAGGCCTGGTTTGACAGGCAGTTCCGACGCTTTTTAACAGCATGTGTAGGGCACCAAAACTTTGCTGAGGAGGAAAGAAGACATCATGATAGGGCAGTACATGTATTGTCAACGCACAGAGGGGCTGGGGGGTTTACCGGCATGACCCGGAGACCTGACCACCCAGGGGAATTACCAAGGCCGGGGCTTTAAACAAGCAACTAAAGTACTGCAAATATTTACAACTTGATTTGAAAAGAATGTCAACTATGTCAATTGTAAAATGCCTTGAACATCACCTGAAGGGTAAATTAATTCGTCAAACGGGAGCATTATAATTCCTTGAAGACGAGTACTTGCGTTAACTTATCTCGGCAAAAGCCAATCTTTTAAAGTGTGGAAAGTATGCATCATGATTGAACTTTTAGCTAGACGGGCTTTATAATCCTGCTGTTTGTTGAAATGTCTCGTCACCAGCCACAGCTCTGTGGTGATGCTTACTCGCCCCGACACTGGGCAGGTTGGGGAAGGCTCGGTCCCGCCCCATTCAGTGAGTCTTGAATTCGGATTTTAGGGAATGCCATAGGTGCTGAAATGCCACTTTTTACTAGTGGATGGTATTTGTTCACGGCGAAATCGGTTGCCTAAGCACATATGCACATATAAGGTGAAGATATCGCCGTATTCGCTTAAGTGTCTTTGCGTCACCTCACACATGTTAGGGTGGTATTTCATGGTATAAAATCGCAGTTAATAGAGCCTTCTCCAAGTCTATCATCTACTTCAAGCATCTTGCGTCCGTTATACAAACAACGATTCTTCAAGCAACTAGACAACAGTATCCACACTTTAAATAAGAAGTGCTGTTATTCCAAAATGGGAATCGACCGGAAAGAGCGTTCAGTCTGCTCAAGAGAACTAGAGTGAAAGTAAGAACACCCATGTCATCAGCACACCCTAATAAGCCGCAATAAGCCATACTAGCCTTCACTAGCCACCAAAAGAACTGAATGTCTGAGGTCCTAATGCATGGGCAGATGATTTGGATCCTCCCTTATTTCGACGACATTTAGTGTAGCCCATTTCTACGAGCACTTCAATAACATCAGTGGCACAAATTTACAAGCGACAAGTCTAAGCCAGCAAACCCCATTTGGGGAAAGCCAAAACGCCGTACCACATCATTTAAACGCGCGTTTAGGAAATAAGTGATACAGTCGATGAGGCTTCACCCAACAGTTTTCAGAAGTCACCTCCGAATGTCCTAACGACCGCACAAAAGTTCACATTGCTCCTTCGAGTCAAATTGGTTCATGTTGCCACCACAACCGCCGTAGATGAACTCCTCACATTGGCCCGTCTCCTGATTCATGCCCCACTTGGGGAAGTAGCCGAGGCACATGCCCGCCTTAATCGGCTGCTTGCAAGGGTCGATGCGGGCTGAAAACAGGAGGGGCGAAGGCGTTAACCTATTTTGACTTATAAATCAGTCACAAATTGGTATATCCTCAATTAAACGCAATATATTTAAAAGAAAGGGAGTTTTGCATCCCAGTTGACACACCTGCCAGCTACAGAGCAGGCAAAGCAGTAAATGGTGCAGAAACATTTTAATTAAGGGTACCGCATTGTCGCAATAATGTCTCTGAGTTCATCTAAGGTCCATGCTTTCAAAATGAGCAAAAAGTGAACGCATTGGATGTACGATAGCATGTATAGGACTTGCAAACACCTTCACAGAAGCTGAGAGCCACGAGAAGGAGGAAAACGTAGGCGAAGCTTATCTCCGGTGAGTAGTGAAGGCGCCAAAAGAGCTCTACTTCTACGCCTTTTTACTCACCCAGTAAAGATATTTACTTTTGATGGGTAATAGATTAATAACACAGAAAACATAAATAGTGATGACAGGGAATATGTCTTTTAAAGAAATGAGCATTGCAGGCGTGCAGAGGGACCGGGTGGGGGAGAAGCTATTGGCATGATCTGACACAGTTAGACTAATGAGGAACCAGGACATTTTAACCAACTAGACGTTAATGTGAGAGGAAAGAGGCCTCCAGTGGACACTATCAATCAATTGTAAAGAGTTTAAGCTGCCTAAGTGGCCTAATCCATGCCCTTTGACCTAATTCCTTGGTTGCATAGAGGCTAGAAGTCATATCCACTGAAGGTATGATAGCACGTAATCACAAGCTAATGAGAGTGCAAATGATCCACTACTGTTACGATACAACAAGCTAAGCCAGGATAAGAATAGGTAACAAAACAAGAGGAGTCGGAAGAAGCAAAGAGGCAGCCGTTCCCCGCCCTTCAAACAAGCCTAGACAATAGACAGGTGAGTATATTGGAGGGTGACAAAGGATAGAATGAAGGGAGGTAGGTGTAAAGGATGGGGAGAAGGGCGTTAGAGTGGTGACAGGAACGTACCTTCAGAATAGCTGATGACCACGAGGAGGAAAAGCGCGAAGGCAGCAACCATTTTTGCTAGGCAGCAGTGAATTAGGAGGACTTGGTGGATCTCGTAGGTGGCCTCCTATTTTGGCTTCATTTATAGTCTACTCCGGAAGTAATTTGATATTTCCTTGTGCAACTCCACGAATGAATTGAGCTTAAATTTTTCCGGTGATTTTGAAGGCATCCCAAGCCGGAAGTAATTTGACACAACAGCGTGCATCTCCACAAAAAGTTAACCTTGAAGGCACAGTCGGACACTCATTAAAAAGCGCGATTCAAAAAGTACGCAGTGTGACAATTCTCTCAACGGAACATCCAGTTTGATAATTATTTCAACGCCTACCCGGCTGAGTTCCCCGATGTGTCAGAAAGCACAGATAATCCCCTGGAAACAGTGTGACATTCAATAAATAGCAAGGCTCTTACCCACTTCATGCTCAGTTCATTCAAAAATACTGAGCAGATGGAGTCATAATTGGGTGAATAAGTTATTTGCGTGGTCAGTGTCTGCCAGCAACTGCATTTCTTGAAAGAGAGAGAGAGGTTCTAAGTAAGATAAGGGGCGTGATTAGGCGTTCAAGGGTTTGGAACAAGCACTCGACTGTAACACAACTTCCACGTGGGTGCCTAGCTATTTATCCTGAACACAGATGCCAGCTATACAGTTCTAGATGGTGAAAATTACAGTCAATGTTATTTATTTTTCTCAATTTATTTTACAGCTTTGTCAGTTTTGTTTAAATTCTGGTTATTTCTGCAGCTTCTATTTTCCAGTTACAGGATCGCTCTCTCTTCTGCGCCATTGTCTCTGCCAGCAATTCCCACTCTTACATTCAAGATCTCTGCTATAGCAGAAAGATGTGATGCTGGGACAGAAGGTACCTGAATTTTAAGTTTGTCCGGTAGAAGTTTCGGGCGCCTAATGATAGTGGGGAAATTTACGGGAAAAAGCAATTATCAAGCATTAAGAGGAAATAAAACAGCACAAAACATAGACCGCTTGGTGGCTTCTAGTTACAAGGAAAGGAGGCATTATAACTACATCATGCAATTCAGGAAAGGAAGCACACACACAATCTAAGGTGCCTTATCTGACGAAACATGGCCGGAAAACTGATAATGATCTGCAAAGCATCACCCAGCGTAGAAATGCAGGATATACTGATTCTGGTAGTGCTCCTGTGCATAAGATTTCCATTCCACCCTCTTATTGAAGGAAGCCGATAGAAATGCTGTCCTTGGGCAAGAATATAAGACGCCAATGGTCAAAACTGCATTTAGAGGATGAGATCCCATTAATAAACTATCGTGAGTGCCTAGTAGTCGCAACTTCATCAGGACAAACAGTCGTCAAAAAATTTGAACGAGTAGTCAGGATGTGGGTAAAATGTCAGAGGCCTCGGTCAAAAGGCAAAAAACCAGACCTCACAGCGATCGCATCACTTCAAGTTATCTTCACGCGGGCTGCAGGAATGGGAGAAGGGCAATAGACACTACTAATTCTCTTCACTAATCAATCACAGAAGGAAAAATTGGTACAAAAATCAATAGTAAATTATTGTGAAAACTTGCTTAGTTAGAATATGGAACATTTAATTCAGTTCGTTTAAAACAGTGCGACTTTCAATACAGAGGACCTTAAGCTGCTCATAGCAAATAGGATGGTAGAAACCTACAAAATGTAGTAACCAAGGAAGCAGTATCCGACAATAGCACAGGGGACGGTTTTTAAAACGATGTGATGCACACTAGACGACTCCTTTTCTTGATAACAAGCGGCCAGTCTTGAAGAGAGTGATAAGTCCCGCAACAGCCTCGTTCTACAAAGATCCAAAAATTTTGACGCATTAGCAAACCCTTTTCAATTTGTGCTATAAGTTTGAAGAAGAACGTTATGGAAAACCAAAATATGAAGTCGAGAATGAATCGGAATTTCCAAAGATATGCCTTAACTGCTAGCCTGTTTATTGAATTAGAAAGTACATACATCGAATTTCCATGGTAAGATTTTTTGAATCGAACTCAAGCCAACTTAAGGTCTATATTAATAAGAAATTGGATATTTAAAGTCTCAAATGATTAACCACTCAAAATCACCCTTGTCAAGGTCAGGTAGGTCGATTCTACGATGGCCATTCCTTTCGCTATCATGTTATTTCTTCACCAGTTTCGATACTCTTGTTAGTAAAAACTACGGGTCCTCTGCACCCTAACCATTAAAATTAGAAACCGGCCCTATTTACTCTCTATTCTTCCTAGTAAGTGGGCGCTGATATACATGGTTTTTGTACCTTACAACCCAAAATCGAGTAACATCGTCTTTTGCAAAAGCAGCCTGCTTTTAATATCTAAACCCGTTAATTTATAAAGCAGACAATTTCAGTTGATTTAAAATCTGCAGAAGGTTTTCGAGTATGTATGTGACTTTTTCCAATTTTCTAGGTACGAATTTTATGATCGCTGCAACCTTTTGGTGTATTTTTCATTCGATTGTGTGTGATGATACTAGTGAGTGCACCAGTAGGTTTACTTGCACAAGATCAAGATAAAGTCTTGTGACTACTGCAGGTTGGCTTTGGTTGTCCCTTCAATAGGTCTTCGTTGGAGTTAAAACTTACGGATTGGCCTTTTTTGTAACATGCTATCCACTATTAGTATTTAGCACTTATGTACCAGTGTAAAGCTTGAGATTTTAGGTACTCTCGGGTTTAAAAGACGCTTATTTGCACTTGGTCATTTTATCTGTTTTCAGTGGGTAATGTCGATCAGAATCACTCCCACAGTGTTGCAAGAGGCCTACACTCGAGGAGGCGGAGGTGAAGGAGGAGGGCCGGTAGGAGTGAAGGAAGACTTTCGTGGGATAGTTATCCCTGGTGAAGTTATCTTCACCTCGGGCGCCAACCTCATCACCGGTCACGGTACATACCGAGTGGATGACTCGGGCGGAGTTGCCGAGGCAGCTGCGGCGGAGCAGTCGACGTTGATGGACGACTCTGTTGCTGCTTCCGCTCTACCCATGCACGCTTCGATGGCCGGTCGTCTAAAGTCGGTAAACAAATTGGTCTACGTGGAACCGCCCAACACTCGCTACTCTGGCAACGTTGGGGACACTGTTGTGGGACGGATTGTTGAAGTGATTTGCTCCAATTCTGTCTTTGCCTCCTCCTTCATTGTTTAAATACGTTCACTTACGTTTAAATGCGTATGTGTAGGTGGAACAAAAACGATGGAAGGTGGATGTTAACTCCTACCACCTGGCCAATCTCTCCCTTGCCAACGTCAAGCTGCCGACGGGGGAGCTACGCCGAAAATCGGAAGATGACGAACGCGCTATGCGCTCCTTCATGCGGGTAGGAACTTTTTAGTATGTTACACTGAGGCAAATTTTTCGCTGCAACGCTAGCTATTTCCACTTTTAAACTAACTGGCATGTATTGGATACAAGAACCACTCCAGTTTTTTTGCTACTGCTTTTGCGTTTTTACGCTGGAAGATTAAAACAGTCTCTGGTAGGGCTTAGTGGTTCCCAAAATGGTAGACACCATTGCTACCTGCAGCATCCTAGTTACACCCCGGGATGGTTTTGGGTCTAAGGTTCTGCAACCCTTTTTAAAAGATCTGAAGAGACTAATTGCTCCCCATGAAATTGATCTTATGTGGATCTTTTGCAGTAGGAAAGTTGCTGCTCTAGCTTTGACCCGACGAGAAGGCCTGATGCAAGTATCCTTTCCATTACAGGAAGGCGACTTGATAGTGGCAGAAGTGCGAGAGGTCTATCGAGACGGCAGTCTACAGTTGCACATGCCAGGCATGCGTACGGGTCGGTTGGGTGAGGGGTGTGTGCTGCGTCTACCCCCTAGTCTCATCCGCCGACAGAAGATTCACCGCCACCAACTTGTAGTGCCCTGTGGTGGAGGTGGAGGGGGTTCAGGTGAGGAAGCGGCACGTAGTATATGTGTCGGTCTCATCCTTGGCTGCAATGGCCTTGTGTGGATCGGACCTGAACGAGGTATGAACCTCGGGGCGCGCCTCGGTGCTACAATTTCGGCCCGGAAGCCGCACTCCACCACTGGTGCCATCACAGCGGAGGTGGAGGAGCGCGTGGCAGTGGGGCGAGTGCGTAACGTGGTGCTTGCCTTGGTGGCGTGCGGGCACCTTGTGTGGGAGACGGCGGTATTGGCAGGATGTGAGGCTAGCTTCTTTGAGGAGGCGGAAGAGGCGGAGGGGCCTGTTGGCGGTAATGGAGCCGACGGCGCTGCACCCATCACCCGTCTCCTTCTGCCAGAGCATCAGAGGCATCTTGTTGATCTTGTCATGGCAAAGCTGGCGGCTGCTTGACGGGATTGTCTTGAATGAAACTTTCTTATTGTTGCATTGGTTTTATGGAAATGGACACGGTGGGAGGGGGCTCGATACGGCCCGGGAAGTTATCCTTGGGTATGTTAATCTTTGCTTTTGTTCAGGGGAGGAAGCGGATTAGGTCGAGAAGGCAGTGTTCTCAAAAGGCCCCTACAGTTAACACTTGGGCCAAGAGAAAGGCTCAAGGGGGGGGCATGGACATTACTGCCCGCCTTAATGTACAGTGGTTAAACAAAGCAGGCCTTTGAGGAGAGAGCGAATGTGGGGATAACTGCGCACGCATAATTTAGTCACAAGTAATCTTGACAAAGTCCTGTGCTTGCGCATGAAGTAACTGACACCTTAATTGTTATTTTATAAAGACACAAACACTACGTTACCGCACCCTATTACATATATACGAAGAAATACTGTAAAATGCCAACTGGAATGGATAAATTCGAGCATAAAATTCCATTTGATTTCACTTATCCAGGGTTGCCAAAACAGCCTATTAAACGAAACGGTCAATAAGCCAAACACTAATTACATGAAAGTGTGCATTTTGAAAAAGGAAATTATTAGATAAACAGAAACGATTCTAATTAATTTGTTGGTTTGTTTTAATCTCTTGGTAATGTAAGGTCTTGGTCGTAAAATTTCGAAATCGATGGTAAGGATGGATGTGGAGGAGAGTAGCGGGCAGCTTTTGCTGAAAATAGAGACACTCTCCTCGGATCTAGACTCACTAGCGTCTAAGGCAATTTCGAAAGTGTGTCAGCGAATTCAGGTTCTTATCCCGAACTTTGTTTTGCCCGATACTCTGGAGCTGATTAACTCGAAGCATGTGTTTCCTAAGTCGAGAAAACGCAAAATCCGAGCTTCAAGATCGACAACCAGGTCTCGCGCTCGCAACACTAAATCAAAAAGGCGGAAACTCACGGCCTCATCATCATCAATTGAAGTCAGTGGACGGACTCAAGTGTGTTTCTATCATTAATAATTATTGCCTAAGCTTTCAACCAGTGAACTCCGTTTCCCCTTTGTTCCTATTTAAGTCATCTGCGCCCTCCGATGTGGAGATGTGTATTGTTCCTGAGGAACGGTTTCAGTCCCCAGTCACACCGCTGTTGGACTCTGTCTATTCTGGACAGACCAAAGGTTCCCGATCTATCACGGAGATAAAACCTGTGCAAGGCGATGCTACGGGAGATGAAACTCTAGTAGCTGAAAATACTACTGAGGCTGCGACATCCGTTCGGCACACGGTAGGATTTCCTACTGTTTTTATTTAATGCATTTAACTGTCTATATATTCTTATGGAACAGTAACTTTGACATTTTAGCAGAACAGTTTAGAGGATCCAAGTGTGATTAGATTAAAATTGGAACCTCCTGATCCACCTGTAATTGTTTACCTTATTTAATCAGCTGTCTATTTAATGAAACAATTCCGAATTCACTTTGTTAGACATCCAAAGGAAGGAAATCGGCAGTGCGATCTCCATCTGAACCGGAACTTCGCTCTCCACTGCCCTCCAAGCGATGCCGTTTCGGTTCGCCTGCTGGAGATGAAGAGCCTTTGTCCACTGTCGCCACTAAGGTGTGACGTTTATCCAATGCTCTCACTTTCATTTCTACAGTGTTGTCCAGCTCTAAGTAGTCTGTTATTGTTGATTTTTAGCGAAAGAGTAGGGAGTCAAGTTCAAAAATTGCTAAGACAGCACACTTTGCTCAGCCATTAACTATACAGGAATCTCGGACGACTTTGGATAAGTCTTCTGAATCTTCGATTGCCGCTGCTACTAATGAAGATGCTTTGAAAGGCTCCTACGGAAATTCGAGCATTATGACTGAGGAATCGGATGATACTGTTGGGGTGATGGAGGTACAAGCCCCAAAATCATCGGCTCACCCTCCCAAAATATCTACCTCAGCTGTTGATGTCGCTGCTGATGATGCTGTCACTTCTACAGCCGCGTCCACCAGCGCGGTATTTGTGAAGCCGGTGTCTCAGAATGCCTCTACACCAACTGCGTCAGTTCCTACCGAAAGTCGCTTGGGACGTTATCGCAACACTCCGTGGCCAATAGGTCTGTCGAAGCCCTGGCTCTCTCGGCTTGGTTGGGGCACAGCATCAAAGACCCCGTCAACTACTGCCAATACGACTAACATGGTAACCGTCACTAACATGACAAATTCGAATCTATTGCATCAGCCGCAGCCATCTCGGCTCTCAGCGAGGGCGTCGGTGGGGATGGGGAAGCTTAAAAGTGTCACAGTTTCGACCGCTCCTTCACTGGTTAAACATGCTAAACCGCCCTCAGTTGTTACTGACTCCGCGCCGCGATTACCAACGCAGTCACAGTTGAACAAAGTCTCATGCGCTAGTAAAGCTAAATTCTCGGGTAGGAAAATAGATTTTTTTCCTTCTTGTCATATTTTTGTGTCGTGTTTGGTTTTGCATGGCTTTCTGCCACACTTCAGTTTATTGTTTGCAACAAGTGGAACGTAAAGCCCTTGCTTTTTTCGCCCACTGCTTTATTTCCCATCAATGCGTTGCAGTGATTGGGGAGAAGGAAATCAGCATTAATCATCGATCAAGCAGCTCTATGGCAGCGAGTGTACTGTCTCGAAGGGCTGCAACGGGGCCGCTACAGACACAGTCGGCGACGAAGCTGTTGCCGAGGGATGTGGCGGAGGACGATCGGCGGACCAGAGCGATGGCAGATTTGACGGCGAAGGAACAACGCCATCGGGAGTTTATGGAGAAGCGGGCCCTGGAACGCAAAGCCAAAGTGAAGGCCGCTAACGAGCACCGTATGGCTGTCCGCGCCAATGCAGAACGTGAAGCTAAGGAGAAACAGGCCGCCGCGACGAGACGGATGGAAGCGGAGAGATTGAGGCTGCAGAAAGTGAGCTCTGGTTCGCCTGTTAGCGCTTACTCATCCCTCCCTCCCCTGATGGAATCATTGTCAAGTTTCAATTTAGCCTGTAATTGCTGTTATTCACTCACCAATTGAAGCAACCCGGTCTAGATCCCCTAGGTTCCCAGTCCTCTAATTTGATTTGGAATAGTTTTTCAAAACCGTCCTTTTGATGAAGAGCCTATGAACTTCTGCTTTGCTTTGTTATTGTGTGCCATTGTTAAAGTACACCAGAAATCTTTCCAACAATCGTGCGGTGAATGCTTGTTTTGGAACATCCTGGGCGTTGCTAACCTATGTAGGAGTCAGTGTACAGGTTCTCTTAAGGTGTCTTCGTTACTGCTTTGTATCGAAGCCCTCACATTGCAGATTGCGATAAAGGTCAAGATACAGCCGCCTAAGACAGCAGCTATCGCCAGCCACCAGCGTACGAGTCAGTCGGTCAAGCAGCTGCCGTTCTCATCAGCTTCTGCCAACACAGCTGCGGCGGCATTTACCACAGCCACCACCAACAGCTCCAATTACATGAAGAACTTTGATCTCGCCAAGGTTGCCCCACCACTTCCACCCCATGCCACCGCGGTTAACAAACCGCAGGCGCTCCCGTCACAGCCTGCTGCCAAGATGCAAGTGG